TATATATATATATATATATATATATATATATATATATATATATATATATATAGAGAGAGAGAGAGAGAGAGAGAGAGTGAGTGTTTTTTATAGTTTTGTAAATCACATACACAGCTGAAGATTTAATATGAAAAGCCTTCTGTGTTAAGGAAAAATTTAAAATATTTGTTAAAAATTAACTAATAACTATATTTTACTCATTATAGTTTGAATAGATATGAATATATATATATTTATAAATATATATATATATATATATATATATATATATATATATATATATATATATATATATATATATATATATATATACTCTTGCATGTCTCTTGCGTAGCATCAAAAAATGTTTCCCATAAACTGTAGTTTTAAAGAGCGCGTTAATAAACCAGACCAGAAAAAGTTTTAAAAATTAAATTTTTTTTTTTAATTGATAGACTGCCTGGCCAAACCAAACCCTCAGTCGATGTAGCAGCACTTTCTTGCGAGTCAGGCTATTTGTCAGTCGTTGTAGCAGCACTCCCTTGCGAGTCAGGCTATTTGTCAGTCGATGTAGCAGCATTCCCTTGCGAGTCAGGCTATTTGTCAGTCGATGTAGCAGCACTCCGTTGCGAGTCAGGCTATTTGTCAGTCGATGTAGCAGCACTCCGTTGCGAGTCAGGCTATTTGTCAGTCGATGTAGCAGCACTCCGTTGCGAGTCAGGCTATAAGATAGTCGATGTAGCAACATTTACGCATGTTTAAAAAATGTTTTTTATTAAATCAATAACAAAAACACCACTAATTAAAAAAAACTTTCTAGTCGTTATAATTGCGGTTTTTTGAAAATTTTTTAAAAAACAATTAAATTTAATGTACTTCCGCATAAATTAATTGCTTTGACATTTCGATGACAATCAAAAACAGCTTAAGAGACGAGGTAATTAAAATTGTAGTCGTAAGAGACTTTTTTTACATTAAAATGCTCTTAAAGCTACACTATATGGGTATATATATATATATATATATATATATATATATATATATATATATATATATATATATATATATATATATTTATATATATATATTTGTGTTCTGTTGTGACTTCAGGGGCAGTGCTTGTATATTAAAAAAAAAATTAAATGATTTACGGCTTTGCAGATGTGGCTCCAAGAATGAGCCATAGTATTGAAGTAATTTTTAGTTTGATAATATATTCTTAAAACAGTTTATGCTAGAAATCTCAAAACATAATAAATCTCAAATAATTTTTTAAATATTTCAACAGAATATTCTAGAACTTTATTTAGTCAGCGTATTTTTTGAACCAATTAAATTAGTTTTTTCATAGATTTAGCAGGTTTTTAGTGTTCGCAAACATTCTTTTTATTCTTCCACACCAAGACGTCTTGAGAACATTCAAGTTTATGTATGTTTTCATGTATGTTCATAAAACAAAATTTTTTTAAATTCACATAAAAGAATTAACTTTATAATTGTTTTGCGAACAAACATTAAAACATGCATAAATGTTCTCAAAATGGCTGAAAAATCTGGCCAGTTTTTTGCAACTTAACATTAATTCTGTGTCAGTAATCAAGAGTTATTGCTCCCACTTCCCGACCAAGCCTAATGTGTGTGTGTGTATATATATATATATATATATATATATATATATATATATATATATATATATATATATATATATATATATATATATATATATATCGACACCATGCAGGAAATTTTTTGAATGAAGGTCAATTTTAAAAAAGGTGGATTAATAAAAGTTATATAGCTTTGCTAAGATAATAGTTAAATACAAATAGTTAACACGCTGTTTAAAAAAACTTTCAATTTCTTATTGCAAAAATAGTTTATTGAGGTTAATTAACAACTTTTTAATAACTTTTAAAATGCTCGTAAAGTTAAATAAAAACATTTTTAATTGAGATTTTCAATCTAACAGAAATAAGTAATGTAAATAAAAAAAAAATTTTTTGTACTAAATAGAAAGCGTTTACATAAATTTAATTTCTTTGAGTTAAGTTTCGTTATTACTTTTGGAAGTGTGAAGTAATGCAAAGTTCTTTAAAAAAATGTTTGCCAGTGTTTGGCATTTATTCTTTGAAATAGCAAATCTGTAAAACTCTGCAATAAATGTAAACTGTCAAATCAGAAATGTTCTGCAAACTCTTTTATTTAATAAAGAAAAAAGTATATACCAAAATTGAGACCATTGAGATAAAATGTCACATGGAATAGTTAGTCTTCCCCTATTTAAAATATCTAAATAAATTATATATTTTTCATAATATGTATTTGTATCATCTCAAATTTCTTTAGTGGAACATAACCAGCAATATAGAATAATAAAATATAAAATATAATAGAGTATAAAAATTCTATATTTATACTATCTTCTAGATCTGCTAAATTGTAAATATTTATTTCCCTATCATCTAAATCTTCAAGACATAAAAGACATATTTAACTGCAGTACCAGCTTAGCGTGGGACTCATCCCTGTATCTAAGATTTGCATCAGGACATTTAATGTTCACTTTCTTTCCCAAAGTCTATAATCCGCTCCAAATAATTAATTGCATCCTTGACACTTTCTTGGTCTATTTTAGGATGACTTAAGAGCTGCAACTGTCTCTTCCCTGTATATACTGCTTCACTTTATATACTTGTAAACAAGTGCTTACTTTTTGCCGTCTATTAGTTTAGGATTTATTGATGTTTCAGTCTACTTAAATAATAATTTTTTAAGTGTATATAAGTTAATTAAATCACTCCGGTTTGCAATGTAAGATATTTCATTATAAATAAACTGCAACGGACCTAATTTTTCTGTCAGACAGTTATTTCTTGTGTACTTTAAACATTTTGACATAACCAAAAAACCGTTTCCATCTACTGTTTTGAATTTAGAAAAAAAGCTTTGGCTAACTTTATTACCATCAGTAATATTTGCAACTACTTTACCATTGCATATGCAACTTTCTATTGTTTTTTACAATTAATTTTATTGGTCTAGTTGGAAATCTTATGTTAGATTACTAACTGGTAAAACTTGCTAAAAATTTAGGTTTTATTATACAGACTTTTGACCATAAATAAAAGTATAGTAGCAGCTTATTTCTCTAGATTATTTAACAGCTTTTCCAAAAATATTTCCACTTTTATATAATAAAGAAGCTTTTACATAAATTTTATCTATCAACAAAATAGAATTTCTTTTTTTTTTACCTCAAGTTTTGATAGCACAGAACTTAAAAAAACTAAATCATCTTGAGAATTTATTTTTGAAGTTACACGAGTTAAAGTTTGAAAACTTGGCAACTGATAATAACAACAGAGTTGATTGTAAGCGGAATGACTTGTTTCAAAAATATTCAAAAGCATTGGTTATTATATCAGGCAAATAAACAGTACAGCAATGGTCTCCCACTACATTTAGATGCTCAAATTATATTTGGGTTTTATGATCCTCCTCTTTAACTTTTAGGTATCTAAGGGCTTCATTTAAAGCTGACTTTGTATTAAATAAAGTTATTCTATTTTTCGAAAGAGGTTTAACAGTACATTTTGAATCATAATGAAATACTTTCAACATTTAACCTTGATTAACTATCAGCAAAAATAGTGGTACACCACAATTGAAAACTTTCGACTGGATAAAAATATAATTTTTTTGGTTGTAAGTAATAATATCATTATCAGTAGATAAGTATTTATCAATATCTTTTAATTGATAGTTTTAAATTATCAATTATTTTATGCCCTTCTAATTCTTTTTTTTATACCTCTTTTTGAAGAAGATAATGTTTTTCTCATTTTTGGTGGTGGAGAGGATAGACAGCTTTTAGAGATATTTTAAGACACTGATGGAGGATTAATTGGTCTCAATTTACCATAATGTAAGGTAAACTCAGCATCGTCTGGCCAATACTATATTTTGTTAAAGTCCAGTGCAATCAATGGATACTCATAAACCACTTGTTTTTTTTGTTTTTTTCAGATACTTAACAAGAACATTTATATACAGATATTTTACTATCTGAAGACTAATAATTTGAGCAACAGTTTGGTACGCAGCATTTTATAGGCATCATTAATTATTTGAAATTTCTTTGAAAACAGCTACCAATATTTTACCAATATTTTACAACTTTAAACAGCTTATTTAAAACCGGCCTTCAGTCAAGTAAATTCCTGCACGGTGTCGAGGCCTTCAGTCAAGTAAATTCCTGCACGGTGTCGAGGCCTTCTATTAAGAAAGCTCTGAAATAAAGAGAGAGAGAGAACAAAGTTTGAAATTGAATTTTTTTAACTTGCTATGACATTCCCCTTACAGTTCATATATTTATAAGTCTTTATTAAATTATCTTAAAATCAAAAGGAAGTTCTACTTAAACCCATTATTATCGGTCCTCACACATAGAATTTCATATATATATAAATTATCAAAACAGGTGTTTACCATAATTAATTCAAAAAAAAAATTATTTTTTAAAACTGGTTTTAAATTTCAAAATAAGTTATTAAACTTGATTATTATTATTATTATTATTATTATTATTATTACTCTAGATATAGATATTAATTGATAGTAATTAATATAATAAATCTTAATATTATTAGTAATTTATAATTATTAAAAAAAAAATAGTTTATTTAAACCCATTATAATCAGTCCTTACATATAGAATTTCATATATATGAATGGTTTTGTTTATAACTTTTTTGCTAGTATATACAGTTCAATTATTGTAATTTGAATCCTCAAACAGTCTCAAAATATCTTTGAATTTCAAGATTTATAGAAGTTTAATCCAAAATAATATAGCCTTAAGGGACCAAACAATTAGATATATTTAAATGATCTTTCGAATTGTAGTATTGTTTCAAATTACAAGAGTTAAATTATATTTTGCTAATGCCTATTTTTTTTTTTTTTTCTGTCTTGTACATAAATTATAATTGCAATAGTTTCTACCAAGAATTCTTCTTTAGACTTTGCCATTTCAAATAAAGAATAAAAATCGATTATTGTTCTCTATGGCTGCTTATATGGGTATTGGATTTGCTATTCCCTTCGTTGCTGTTCGATATCAGTTGTATAAGAAATCTGTCAACTAAAAAGTTGTACAAGAAATCTGTCGACTAAAGACATTTGTTTGTATTTACATTGAGAATTTTAAAAATATTGCTCCAAAAATCTATTTTATTTATTGAGTTTTAATTGTTTAAATTTTTTATTTTTTATTTTTGGTTGCTCACTATTGCGGAATGTTGGGACTGTTTTTGCGCGACGTTGCTTTACGTGAATATAGAGTACCATTAAAGAATATAGAATAGAGTACCATTAAAGTCGTTGGAAGTGGAAGTAATAAATAAATATTATTAGTTTATAGTTTCTTTTTAATTATATATATATATATATATATATATATATATATATATATATATATATATATATATATATATATATATATATATATATATATATATATATATATATATATATATATATATATATATATATATATATATATATATATATATATATATAATATTATTGTATATGGTGTTTACAGTACGGTTATATATAGTATATTAAAAACAACGATTTTTAAAAAAATCCATTTAGGTAATGCTTATTATATTAATGTTGAATTTATGTTAATAGATTTAATGTTTTCAAAGCAATACTTTTCTATCTATATTTAAAAGGAAAAGTAAATAAAAAGTTAACATTAAAATAATGAATGATTTTGATGTGCCTGTTTTGCAACATGCACCATGGCCTACTCCATCGCGAGCTATTTATGGATTTGTTCTTTATGTCTTAACATACGTAATTTTTGGTAAGTTGAACATTTTTTATGGCTTTTTTTTGTTTTTCAGTTTAAATGCACCAAACAAAAAACGGAGACTTGAAAAAGAATAAATTTTCTTTTGATAGCGTTGAAATAAAAGTGTAAATACTTCTATAATAATAATAATAATAATAATAATAATCCATTTTTAATAGGTTTTTATATAATATGGGCATTACTTCCAGATAGCTGTCTTAATTATATTGGGTTAACTTATCTGCCCTCGAGGTAATTATTTCGTTTTAATGTAAAATAGATTTTTTGTTAAAATTTTTTTTTTCAACCTAACTCTAGAGTATATCCGAGTAAACTGAGTAGGTTTTAAATGAATAGCTTATGTTTTCATTCGCATGTAGTTTTTTTTTCCCTAAAAGGTTTTCGAAATTTAGGTTAGTGAAAAGTTGTTGAAAACTTTTCAGTCTAACAAAAAACGTATAGATAATTATAACTAAGAAGCGCGATTAAAATGCGGAATTTTCGGGGAAAAATAAAAATAACCAAAGAATAATGGAATATATATTTTCGCCGCATTATAAGTCCTACATTTCCAAATATAAGACCTTTCTAGTAGTTAACCTATCCAAATCCCTAATTGTATGCGTGTTCTAAAGCCCCTACAGATGGCTATTTCCAGGATGGTGTTCCATGCAAGCCTAAGAGCGCTAAGGTTTCTATACGTTTTAATGTTCATCGTATTTTTTAAGAAAAACTGTTTTGAAGTCTTTTGCTTTTATTTTTTTTTTTTGATTTCTAGAGCGCTTCAATTAAAAATGTTTAAATTGAATTAAAGTTTTTTATTAGTTGATTTTCGCATTTCATACTTTTTCTGCATTTTTCCACGCATTATTTAATTCTTATTGGTTATAAGGTTTAAGCTTTCTCAGCGTAGTTAACCCAAGTTTATATATATATGTATATAATGTATGATAAATATATATATAACCGACTACAACATGAAAATCGCCTTTTTTGGGGGTGGAACACAAACCCGTAAAATCACCTTTATATGAATCAGGGTTGTTACGACATAATATGTCTGGCAGATCTGTCAACATATTTTCAGACATTTTCTACTGACAAAATATGTCACATATTTTCTATCGACGTATTTTGACATAATTTTATGTCTTAACTATTTTCTGCTGACAAAAAATAACTCTCACATGTTTTCTATAAACATTTTCACATAATTATGTCTGAATTATTTTTTGTTGAAAGATTGTTTTCTGTCTGCTGTAAGATTGTTTTTTATTTCAAGAATATAAAACATCAAATATGACGGAAATATAATTGGACATATTTAATGTCAGCAGAAAGTAATTAAGTCAAAATACGTCGATAGAAAATATGTGGGACGTATGTAACTCGGCGGAACAAATGTCTCAGACAACAACCCTGTTTGTTATTTAAGTTATTTTTGAATCTGGTCACTAAACTACACATCTATGAAGATTAAAAGTTAATCAGAAGTTTAAAATCAAAATTTTAAAAAAAGCGTTGATACAACGTGAAAGTAGCGCAGTAGTGTCATTTTTAGTGCTACATATATTCTATTTTTCCTTTACATCATTTCATGTTTTACTTTAATATTACACGTGGGTGAGATTTTTCGTTTTAAATAAATATAAAATAAAGCAAAATATCGATGGAGTTGAATCTGATATTAAAAGTAATATTTTACATAATTTACAGCTATGGGAGTGACGATTTTGTACCAGTAAAAGCAAAAAAGACTACTATGAATCTAGTACACGTTTAGTATCCCAATAATACAAATAATGTAGGCTGCTTAGAGTACTAAAATTACATTATTATGTAGACCTAATACATTTTAAAAAAATTAAGCTCAAATTACTTTGAAGGCCATAACCATGCATTAGTTTATTGAGACAGTTATATTTAGTGTTAAGACCTAGCCTAAACTAGCTTTTACTAAAATTAAATTTTAAATAAGCCACCATGATGGTTCACAAATTTAGTAAGTTACTGGGTACTTATTGTAATTTGGTATTCATATAATTGATATTATTTAAGCCATTGTTTTTTCTTGTGTGTTTAGCTGCACAAGACGTTCTGAAAGTTGTACTAAGTCATTTTTTTGTATTCGAATCATACTTTTGCATCACGTCAAGAAAACTAAACAACTGTCAGCAGTGCTGGATTAAAGAAGGGGGATAGGGGCTTTGTCCCCAAACCTTGCACTTTTGGGGACCCAAAATTTTCAAAAGGATATTTTTTTTAAGACACCTAATACGGGGTGGCACAAAAAATAGCCTCTGGCCCCAAAAAGTTTTAATACAGCGCTGAGTTTCGAAAGAAAGGAAAAGTGAGTGGTTTAGTGCAATATAACAAGAATTATGAATTTTGATGCAACTTTTTGTTGTTTGTGAGTTTGTTCTGATCATTTTATTACAGGTTTAGTTTTTAATTTGTTTAACGTGACTTTACTTTTCTTATTTACGTGCGAACCAACATGACAGTCGTAAAAGTTAGGCATAATTATCATAAATTAATTATGCAACTCGGAACAGTAAATAATTTTCAGAACTTTTTATTTTTTCTTGCGACATGTTTATATTTTTTTTTTAATTTGTTTAAACAGAAAGAAAAAGCAATTTAATTTTGCTAGAATATGTCAAACTCGTAGAAAAGATATTGTTGAAGAATATAATGTTTATTTGGCTCAGCTTCAAAACAACTCTGAGAAAGGTATAGATGTGCAATATATCAATGCTGACTCAGTGACAAATACACTCCATTCAACATATAGTGTTGTAATTAGCAAGATATCCCACCTATAATAGGAATATGTCTTGCAGATTTTAAAAAAAATTCTTATATTTTATAAGTGGTTTGCTTTTAATCCTTCGAAATGATTTAGATATTAAATTTAACAAGCCTATAATCTACTATCATACTATCCAAACCTTACTTAACTAAGTATATTGCACTTGTTTTTCTTTCAGTGATCATGTTCAACTTATACCCCACCCCCTTACCCTCACCAAAAAAAACAATAACTATAATAACAAATATCTTTATCTGAAATCTGGAGGTATAATGAAAGAAAAATGGCATACTAAACTTATAAAAAAATTACAATTTAAGGAAAAAAAACAGATATTAAGTAAGGCAATTCAAGCCCAAAAAAACTACCTGGAAAACTTTAAGATGATGTGCAAAGTAAATATCCGAGGTTTTAATATTATTTTATTCCTTATCTTCAACTACTCTCAAGTCCTTAAATCAAGGGGGTGTGGGAGGAGGGGGGGGGGTGAATAAAAGGGGGGTTAGGGAAATTTTAGTCCAGATCTAAAACAAAGGAGGGGGGGGGGAGAGAAGGGTAATAAAAGGAGGCGGGAGTGGAAACTTTTTTATAATACAATATAAGTATTTTTTATAAAAAAGTTCAGTTTATAAATCAAAACTAATATTTTTTTACAAAACACCCATAAAGCTATTTAAATCTAGGTGGCTTGCGGTCAAATTTCTGACAGCTGTTTTATAATAATTTCTATTATTATAATAGTTTTATTATAATAGGATTTAGCATGTTGATATAAGTTTTATACTGTGATAAGAAATAAATTAAAAGTTCATTTTTGATAAATTGAGATTTACTTGTTCGGTGATTTTTAAAGCTTGTTTACACTGAAAAAATTTGTTTTTATCAGTGATTGAAATAATAATTTTCTAATTTTTAAGGCCGATTTTCAATGTTTTTTTGTTTTTCTTTTTTTTTCTTTTTTGAAAACAAGTAAAAGTTAATTAACAGGAGGGGGGGGGGGAGGATTTTAATAAGCTTGGGTTCGTTTGAAAAACTTTTCAAAAATTAGTCAATGCCCTCCCCTCTTTTATTAGGGGCTCGAGTGTACACAAAAAATAGCATTTTTTATTGCTTCGACTGATCGCACAACCACTGCAAGACCAAAAAATAAATAAATAAACACAGTAATACTGGTAATACTGAGTAGTACTAATAAATGAAGAAAATGATGACCACTTACTGTTTTTCTAAAACAAACTGTAACCTTCAAGATATATATATATATATATATATATATATATATATATATATATATATATATATATATATATATATATATATATATATATATATATATATATATATATATATATATATATATATATATATATATATATATATATATATATATATATTCATGTTTAAGGTGAAAAACTCTAAAAACATTCTACAGCAGTTTTAATTACATTTTTTGATCATTTTAATGGGAAAAAAGAAGGAATTATCAGAAGTTATTAGAGGTCAAATTCTTATATTAGCTCAACAAAAAAATTCAACTAGAGATATTGCAAAAATTGTAAATGTATCACAATCTTGTGTTAGTAAGACATTAAGTAGAATTCGACAATGTGGAACATTTTCGTCACGTGGGAGAAGTGGCAGACCAAAAAAAGTGACTGAAAGGGTGACAAGACGCATCAAGTTTATTGTGGAGAATAATCCCAAGCTGTCATCATATGGGATTCTGGATGATTTAAGTCCTGGAAATGCTGAAGCAAGTCTACCAAGCACAAGAACGATCAGACGTGTGCTGCAAATTGATCTGAAGCGTCCTGCTCGACGACCTGCCAAGAAACCAGCCTTGAATGACGCTCAACGCAAGAGGAGGTTGGACTTTTGCAAAAAGCACAAACATTGGAAGGAGAAGGACTGGGAGAAAGTAATGTTTTCTGATGAAACAAATTTTCCGGCACAAGATCTGGGAAATAAGACCATTTAAAGTAAATGTAAACCGTAGTTGTGCTAATTCAGCTTGGGAGTACATAAAATCATTTTTAACGATTGAATCACATTGCTTGGTCAGTGATGTTGCCTGTGTCTTTCACAAGATATTGGATAATTCGGTAGAGGGAAATGACGTGAGGGACTTTATTACGTAGTGTGAATCCTGCGTCACTTAAAATCAGATCAGTATAATATCAAATGCTGTGATACATTTTGTAATTTCGTTTATTTTTTGGAATGTGACTATGTAAGGTATCAAACACCATTATTTGTTAAATAATCATGTTTTATGTCATTAAAATTATGGTTTTTTAAAAAAACGCAGTTAAAATTTCAAAAAAACCACTAATGTCCAAAATCAACTGGTACCAGTCGCATCAAATTTTATGTTAATAAAATTGTTTAAAAAAGTTTTTAATACCTTTTTTTTTTTAGATTTTAACTTGGTAGTTTCCAAAATTAAAATATAAAACAAAAATATTAAAGCAAAAATTGCCCTGAAATTAATAGCGAAAGGCGGACCAAGATGTAAACATTTTAAAAGTCTTCAGTTTTTTGCTAAGCTTTTAGTATTAATAGTATTATGTCGGTATATCTGTTCTATTATAATGATTCATTAACTGCATGAGTTTTCATGTTGCGAGTAGAAAATTTTGTAATTAAATATAAAATAGAATATTTTTAAGTTTAATAACTTTCTATCCGATAAAAAAATACTTTATGCGTATAAAGTTGCGTTAGCAATATTTAAAAAAAAAACAAATGATATTTTAAATTATCAATTTTTTAGACACTGGGTGATAACGTTTCCGTTTCTTTGTTGCACGCTTGTTGCTATTGTTTATGTCGGATACAACGTTAATTATTGGAGTAATCTTCCGAAATTTGACGATGAACTAGAAGAAAACAGTACATAACCGATGAAAAAAGTTGTAAAACGCAATGTGAAAAGTTTTTATGTAGTGTTTATTTATGCACTGTGTATACAGTGTCTGTTTAAGCCAATCTTTTCAATTGAGTATTTGTTGGGGGTGGATTTGGTAAAAATTTAAAAAAATGTAAAATAATAGAGTGCTTCAGTACACTGCCCATTTCAATATGAGGCATTTGTGTCAAAACCAATTACGAAATTAATTTTAATAAGAAGTTTAGATGGATTTATTTTTTTTATAGAAGCTAGTCGGTAATTTTTGAGGAATTGTCTTTGATAATTATTCTAGTATTTTTTTAATAGAACTTAATAAAATCATTTTTCTTAATCGAAATCTTAGTCGTCTAATAAAAGTAGTTTGGTACTAAAGTATTTCCAAATACACTTCCAGAATGTCCAAAAATTGTTTGAATATAAATTACAAAACGTTGGTACGTTTACGCTTCCGCCGACAAAAATACAAAGCCACTGTTAAAGGATGATTGACCTCCGAAAATAACATCCATAAATATTTAAAGATTCACACAAATGTGTCTCTTCATTGATATTTTTGTTTGTTTGTTTGTTTTTTAATTCTAATAATCTATAGGGTCGTTTCCACACCTAGCGTGAGTCGACACTTATCGTAGGTTTTAAATACTAACATAAGTTTTGCAATAAGTAGTAGGGTCCTTTCCACACTTACCGTGAGTTTAACAAAAGTTATTATAATATGTTAGATTACTCAAAAATTAGAAATTTATTAGAAATGAATTTTTGCAGCCATCAATGTAGTACTATAAGGGTTAATTTAAAATTATTCTCACTCTGAAATTTAAATCAATAATGTACTTATTTTGATCAAACTTTTAAAGCGCAGTTTTCCATACTTATCGTAAGTGTTTCACACTTATCTTATATATTGTTAACACTTATCGTATATCTTAAAATCTGCTTTAGTGACTGGTTTATAATGCGCTCGCGGTTTCAAATGAAAATTTAATGCATTAGTAACATTTTATTAAACGTTTTTAGGTATATAAATTAAAAAAAAAGACTATTAAATAAACACTAATTATATTGTAATGAAAATATTATTTTGAATTAAAACTAAAGATTTTTAAAGCATTTCCATTACTTTAGTACAAATCTTTTAAACTGGAAAGATTAGAATTTCATCATAATTATCTGAGTCTTATATTATAATTATTGTTAACAATGGAACTCGTTTTCTGACTCAGTTTCAAGGCTTACTTTTTCTTTTGCAACTTTCTTATTCTTTTTCAAAATTTTCATGTTTTCTCTTTCTTTTTTAGTTTTTTCATTTAATAACTTTTTCTCCATAGCCAATTGTTTCTTTCTTAATCTTCCTTCCTTATTTTTTGACTTTTATCTGCAACTAATTGTCTCTTTTTTAATTTTTCATCATTTAATTGTGACTTTTCTTGCAATTTTGTCTTTTGCATTTGCTGCCACGTTTTTTTTAATGTTACAACCGATGGTAAACGTTCTATTTTGCGCTTGGACGTTTGGACTGGTTGTTTTGGCTATATTAAAACACTTTTAATTGGATTTATGATTTCTGCTGCTATTTTCAAACTAGAACAAGCTGGTTTTGGTTCTATTACCGCTACAATATTGCAATCAAGCATTTCCATACCGGTTTTAACTTGCACATTTTCTAAATTACAAGTTGTTGATGGATTTTTATTACTCTGTTGTATTTCATCAGGTAAAATTGTGGTCTTATATGTTTCAGATGAGGCTCTTTTCCGAAAATGATACAGCTGGAGTAATTCAAGATCAACCTTTCCAACCTAAATGTTCGTCAGCAATTTTAAACTGCTCTAAAATACTTGAATCAATGCACTTTTCAATAAAGTTAATGGGAGAGGAAGTCACACTTGATTGATTCTCTTCTAAATAAGGAGTCGGAGCCACAGTTGACTCAGATAATCTTTGAACAACTTTTGTGTAGTCCACACTATTAGCATCAAATGGAAATATTCCGATATTTTTAAAAGCACTTTTAAAATTATTTGCCATAGAAGGATCGATTATAAATGAATTTAATTCTGGTACATTTTCATTGTTTATTTCTTGTCCTTAATGGTTAATGCGTCATTGTCGGCAAAAAGATTTCCACTTTGCTTTTATTGGCCCAAAAACTGCCACATCGATCGGCTACAAAATATGTGTTGCATTTGGGAACAAAGCAACAAAAATTATTCCATTTTTAGAGCAAAACTCACTAAGTTCGATAAAAAAATGTGACGCATGATATAAAAAAAAAAATAATAACTGGTAAAGGAATTTCTTCTTTTAACAAAATTGGATGAAAAATGTTTGTAATATACTCAAAAAAACATTCTGCGGTCATGCAACCATTTTCACTTTTTCCAATAACCCATCCGGATGGAGCAGTATTTATAATTCTATTTGGAAGACGAACATATATAAAAATTGTTAATGATGGAGCAAAGGTTCTGCTGGCATTTACTGCAAATAAGGTGGTGATGCTTTTTTTATTACTTCGAGCACTTTCTTCACATGTACTTTTTCCTCGTTCACCAATTAATAAATTAGTTTTTGGTGACAACTGAAAACCACTCTCATCCATATTGAAAACGCGCATCAAATCATTTAAATATTGAGCGTTTTCTCCTAAAAGCTTTGGAATTTCAGTAAACCAATCTTTTATGGCTTTTTAAGTTATTCCTTCTCTAGCTTGGTTTAAGTATTCCCCTGGTTTTTGAGATAGCTATTCGTGACGGTAAAGAAATGCATAAAACCAACCTTTTGCAGGACGGTTGTTAGTAAACTGTGTTTTTATATTTTTGGAATTCAAGTATTTTTGCACACTATCTTATAGCTGTACTACAGACATGGCAAATCCCATTCTGGTGCATGTTAGTAACCACTCGTCTAATTTAGTTTCAATATGTTCACCTAGTACTGATTCATAACCCCAGTGTTGTATCTTCAGAGAGGTTTTTCCAGATATTTTATCACAAAGCGTCTGATAAGGAATTCCAAACTTCTTGCTTGCTTTGTACACAACCATACCTTTTTTAACAGCATCAATAGCATCTCTTAATTGGCTATCTGTATATTGAAGTCTTTGTTTTGAGCTACAAACTTTTGTCTTATATTTTTGTCTTGCCATTGTCAAAGAATCTAAGTGAAATTTTTTTTTTTTTTTATGTAAAAAAGAACCAAGTTGATTATTTATTGGACATACGATATGTATGGAATGACATTTTTTTTGTTCATACTTATCGTACGTTCAAAAATACTACATTGATACTATAATGATGAGTGGTTTTAATAATATTAATAATGATCCATGTTTTATTTATCTTATTAAATCAATTTAGAAATAAAATTTTATCTTATCTTCTTAAATTATCTTGTTTTACTTGAAACGCTTTTAACAGCTGGTACCAAGGGCTGTCGACTCTTTAATATTTTCATAGTTAAGAGTGTAATCGTATGCGCAAGGCATTCTGGGATGTCCTGGTAGTATAGAATTAAGTTTACAACAACAAACTTGGCTGAAACTCTGCAAAGTTTTCTGTTTTATATTGCGTTATTCTTTAATAAATAATACTCTTTGTTATTCAGAAATGCCTTCAAACTGTGCTGCAACTAACTGCAGTATATATATATATATATATATATATATATATATATATATATATATATATATATATATATATATATATATATATATATATATATATATATATATATATATATATATATATATATATATATATATATATATATATGTATATATATATATATATATATATATATATATATATATATATATATATATATATATATATATATATATATATATATATATATATATATATATATATATATATATATATATATATATATGTATATATATATATTTATATATATATATATATATATATGATAACTTGCTATGTAAATATTACATGGTAAATGTAAATATTACAATGAAAATGATAACTTGCTATGTAAATATTACATGGTAAATTATTTTATCAAGTTTCATTCGAAGATTTTCAAATTGGTTTATTATTATGACCCGATAAGCTTTATTAAGACATGATATATTTAATACTACACTGTGATATTGCTGCTCTTTTGAAAAATGAGAAACCTATAATTCTAATATGGAATTTTTAAAAATAATGTCTAAATAGTATAAAAAAATAAGATTAATTCTATGAGTAGTTTACAAAATGAATTAAAAGCAATCAACATTGAAAACAACGTATTTATTTGTTTTTAAATGTTATACTACCAGGCCATCCCACAACCCTCTGTAAACAAGTTACAAGTTTTTACGCGAGTCGACAGCCCTTGGCTGGTTCTTAAAAAAACGTATTTTCATAGGCTGACGTAGTTAACCCACTGAGTTTATATAAGTAACTATGTATTGCGGTTTCTATGTATTGTAATAGAAGTGCATGACAATGTTGTTGATAAACAAAATATATATATATATATATAAAAAATAATTACTACTTATTGCAAAACTTATGTTAGTATTTAAAACCTACGATAAGTGTCGACTCACGCTAGGTGTGGAAACGATCCTATTTCAAAATAAAATAAAAAAAAACAATTGTATAATCTCTTTAATGATGACTCTTGCCCTGGTTAACCTTTTTAATGACTGATTAAAAAGGTATTTAAGGATAAGTAACGTGATTTTGATAGTGCCAAAGCGCAGAATATATAAAATACCCACAACAATAACAAAATAAGGATTCGAATTTTGAAAATTTTCAAATTTTTGATTCGATTTGATTCGAAATTTAAGCAGCCGTGGCGCAGTGGTAGCGCACTTGCCTTAGAAGTGCAAGATCCGTGGTTCAAACCCCACCTCTGGGCAAGTTTTGCGACATCGGTTGGGAAGGAGGCGTGAACTTCCTATTAAATGCTCTTCCGCGGTGCTCTGTGATAAGACCGTAAGGATTTCTTGGGGCACCTTAATTAACTTAAAAAAAAAAAAAAATTTTCAAAGCTTCGCAGGGCCTTAATATAAATTTTGATATTTAAGGCAAGCCCTGCATCTATGCTCCTCC